GCGGGAAAGCGTAACAGACAGACAGACAGACTAACAGACAGACAGACAGACAGACAGACAGAGTTACTTTCGCATTTATAATATTAGTTGGGATAGTCCTGCTAGCCCCTCGCGTTAAGCTAAATAAGCTGTTAATAATAATTATGTTTATGATGGTGATAAGGATTCTCCATCTGAGTCAACACTGCAGCGCCCGTTTGCGGTGTCTATTGCCCTACACTTGTCTATGCATGTAAAGCAATATAATCCGATGCAAGCCGTCCGGACGTCCGGTTTAACGACCGGTCCGGGAACGGCCGGACTTAAATCGTAATGTATCGGACGCTGATTAACTCTACGTAACTAATTTTGTAATGCGAAAGTTGGATTAGAGAATTAGATTGGATTAAAATTGGAAATGTAATTTTGTTGAGGTAATAATGTAGCTATGTAGGTACCTACTACGCTTGCTTTAAACCTAGTTTGCTAGACTAAAGTTCGGTCGCCGAGCACGTAGAATTTCCCAATCGCTCGCGTGTAATTATGTTGCTGTCGTGCTCGTGCTCGCACACTCACTGCGGCTGCCCGTCGCAAAGTCGCGACAGCAATATAATTACGCGCGAGAGGTAAGGATGGGTAGTTTGGGCACAGAATAAGTAATAGTACAGGTACAGAAGGATTACTCCGCAAGACGATTTAAATAAATGCGAGTCTTGCTACGACGCGATACAGTGGAATTCAGCTCGCACAGCACTAAGTACCTACAATTTTATTCACCTACAAGTTTTGTCTCTTTCTATCGCATGCCTCTGAACTCTTCTTACGCTGTTAGGGTTGCTGTCTAGTAGTGTCTAGTAAAAAAATAATTAATCTACTTATTTGTAATGAGGTACGTATATAGGTAAGTACGCATTGATTATGGAAAACCTTGGGAGAGGCCTTTGTCCAGCAGTGGACGTCATTTTTGGCTGAAACGAACGAACGCATTCTGGGCAGTAGTCATGGTAGGTTAGGTTCCTATACGAGGGCTGCACTAAAAGTATCGGGAATGGAAGATTTCCACTGTTCCAGTCATATTAAAATCTATTTAATTGCAAAGTCCAGGGTTTTAAAAATCGTATACCATTTATTTATTTAAAAAAAGATTCTCGGTCGTATCACAAGGTCTTGTCAAACTTGTTTAGTCGTTGAGAAAATGGAATTGACTCGAGAAAATTCAAGAGCGATGATTTATTATGACTTTTGAAGTGGTTTAACACAAAAACAGTGTGTTGACCGGATGATTTCTGCATTTGGTAATGAAGCCCCATCCAAAACCACAATTTATCGCTAGTTTCCTGAATTTCAACGTGGACGTGTCAAGCTCAGTGATGATCCCCGTCAAGGTCGTCCAAAAACTGCAGTCACCTAAGAAAACGTTGATGCTGTGCGTAAGCTGATTGAAGAAGATCGACATGTGATATACCGCGAAATTCAGGCAACTTTAGACATTGGCATGAGTCAAATACAAATAATCTTGCATGAACAATTAGGTGTAAAAAAGTTGTTTTCCCGATGGATACCGCATTCGCTCTGTGAAGAGCAAAAAGCAGCTCGCGTTACTTGGTGCGTCAGAACTCTCGGGAGATTACATGCAGGATCCTCAAATGCTGTATACAACATCGTATCAGGTGACGAATCATGGATATACGCGTACGAACCCGAAACAAAAAACCAGTCACGAGTTTGGGTGTTCGAAAATGAATTAAAGCCAACAAAAATTGTTCGTTCACGGAGTGTTGCAAAAAAAATGGTGGCCACGTTTGTCTCCAAAACCGGCCATGTTGCGACTATTCCTCTTGGGGGACAAAGAACGGTTAATGCAGATTAGTATGCTAGCATTTGTTTGCCACAGGTCGTTTCTGAACTCCGTAAAGAGAACTGCAACCGCCGCATCATCCTCCATCACGACAATGCGAGTTCTCACACCGCGCACTGAACAAAGGAGTTTTTAGAGCAAGAAAACATAGAATTATTAGTCCATCCGCCGTACAGCCTCGACCTAAGCCCTAATGATTTCTATACTTTCCCTTAAATAAAGAATAAATTGCGTGGTCAGAGATTTTCATCACCTGAAGAAGCTGTGGAAGCCTACAAAACGGCCATTTTGGAGACCCAAACTTCCGAATGCAATGGTTGCTTCAATGATTGGTTTCGTGTATGGAAAAATGTGTCAAATTTCGCGGAGAATACTTTAAAAAGCAATAAATACATTTTTAAATAGTAATGTTGTTTCACTTCCTTGATTCCCGAAATTTTCAGTGCCGCCCTCGTACTATCCTAAGAATTATTGATTACCTACATGGCCAATATACCTTTCAGCATCTTTGGGAAGCGAAAAAAAAGATAAATCCGGTAGATTTCTTTTCGAATTTAAACACCCGAACGCCGCACTATAATATTTCTTTCTCTTTATGTTCATTTTTAAATAATACTTCGATCATAGAATTAGGTACTACAACGCACGCCAGCGTCCTGAGGACGGGCGCGCGCGTGACACTCGACTAATATAATACCCGCCGGCGGGGCGCTTCGTTGTAGGTAATTATCGGATGTACCGCGCGGAGTGAGCCAGGCCTGGTTTGGGGTCATTGGACGAAATTCTACGTGCTCGGCGACCGGGCTTTAGTAGGTATATTGTATAATTACAGGGTGATTACGGAAAAGATAGAAGTAGAACATTCAAAGTAATGAAGTAAATAGTCGTACGAGGTAAAAGAAAAATATACAAAATGCTAATTCGTTAACTTTACTCGACTTTTCTCAGGTTATTTATACAAATAAGAAAACAACTGTGTTATGTATACTAAAATGAGACATATCATAAAATAAAAAGAGACAGAAGACTTTGTTGTGTTTTGTGTGTATTAAAAGTGCTAATAAATATTTATGCGACTATGAAAAGCCAAATAAAATCATAGTTACAATAACAGTACTTTAAAAAAAATCTAAAATGACACTAATAATACCTACTCGTATATTTTATACACACACATACTCTTCATTTACTTAATTAATAAAAAAAGAAAACAGAGTAATCCTGCAAGGATTTTTGGGTTCCTTACCCACAAAAACGTGATCCTAATAATAATGCTCACGCTATCTGTGCTCTGTATAGTGTATAGTCAACGAAATTATTTGTTCACCATAAATGCAATACTAAAGGTTCAGTCAAACCAACGCGATCACACCGCGATCCGCCGTGCAGCAATGGCGATCAGACTTAAATGCATTGATCGCCATCGCTGCACGCCAGCTGATCGCGTGTGATCGCGTTCGTTTGGCTGAACCTTAAATATTAGAGATTTTTCGCAGTAACCCTGCTCTAAACAACTGCACTGTGGCTTAATACTGCACTTGCAAAAATGAATTTTACATGACATTGTACTCGGCTGGTTGAAATGAACTACGAATGAGGCGTTATTTACTGAGGCAGCCTACTTTGTTCCGTCACCTTTGCACAAGTAACCTGAGATGGGAGCAAATTGGTGCAGAATATAAAGTACTGAGATGTGTACAATTTGGTGCAAAATAAGTGGGTTTTTTTAAGGGTGTCATCATTTCAGCCATAGGACGTCCACTGCTGAATATAGGCCTCCCCCATTGATTTCCATGTTGTCAAGGGTGTCAATGAGACACTGTGTATGTTCCGCTACCTAGGTGCCTCTACGTATTGTATATCTTTCAGAAGGCTAAACAGCGCATATTCAGAACCGTAATAATAGGTCGACAGTGGATCCATAGATTGTGTTTTTTGCTGTTTTAACAAAAAGTGGTAACTGTAAATTACAATTCTAGATCAAAGCTTTTATAGTTTGGCAATAGGCTGGTAACATTGAGATACATTATGGCATTCTTATAATGTATACCTACTTATATGAATAAATGTTTACTAAACCCCTTTACTGGACACAATCTCGTCTAAAAATGTAACTTAAGCACTCTTATCCAAAGTTACAGGCACTAATAGTAGGTAATGTATTCGTAGTTGTCTGTCAAATACACAACTACTATAGTACCTAGTACCTACATCTTCAATATTTTGTGTTGTCCGGATCCACGAATTTGATCTTACATAAGCTAGCCTTAGTGACAGCTATCTCATGGAAAAAACCAACGGCATTCATTTTTAGGATTCCGTAAGTACCCCGAAATGTCCGATACGAAAAATCCGATGTTTTGAATATGGAGACAACTACATAGTTTTGTAATGTCAATGTGTACCTATTATAATATCATTTAGTACCAAATAAATATTTTTTCTTTCTTTCTTTCTTTAGTCTCTCAGACTGGTCGAACAATAAAAATTCTGTAACTGTAGGATGGTTACAGTTTGCTAAAATTAAAAGTGAATAGGTATTTAATTTTTAGCGTTAAGAGTCGCATCTCAAACTAATTAGAAAATTATAAATAACTTGAAAAAATCGAACTGCCTCTCGAACCTCTCGTGGGTTCAATACCCGCAGGCAGTTCGATTTTTCCAAGTTATTTTTCGAAAGAATTGAATAGGTTTCTGAAATTCCTTTGGAGGAGTCAAAATTGATATGGGCACAAAAATCATAGAAGTAAAAGAGTGAGGGTACGGAACCATTAGCGAGCAAATCCGACTCGCACTTTGCCGATTTTTGTCTCACCAGCCATTGGGAAATGGCACAAAATCGAAGATTGAAATATTGCAGTCTTTCTGCCGAATGGCACTTTTTATGTGACGCGATATTGAACTCTGCGGACTAGACTGATAAAACAAGAACTTTTGTTCAATTCTAGACTTTCAGTCAATTGTACTCGACTATTTATATTGAAAACTGGATGCTTTGTGACTCCACTCATGTAGAAAGTCTATCCAATAGAAAATATTTTATTTCTGTATGTAACGGAAATATTACATGCAAAAATCTATGGCTGTTAATACATACTTTGTGCTATTCTAACGTCTACAGCCAAAAAGAAAGATAAAGCCTGTCAACGTCTGTCATCAACAATCATGACGTTACCAAAACGGAAAATGCCTACATAAAATCCAATTTATGAGTCCGCCAGACAATCCAATCATGCTCTACGGTGTTCCCTACCAGAAGTAGCCACCACCATGTCAAAATGCAATAAAGTGAAAAACCCTTGCAAAATTTGCCTAGGCGCAGTCACACAGAAAACTGGGTTGCAGTGTCACGGTGCTTGCGACAGCTGGGTCCACTACGGCTGCTTGAACTACACTCCTGGACGGATAAAGGACATCAAGGCTGGCATCATCAAGGTCACCTGCCCATGCCCCGACTGCAAGACTTCTATGCCCAAGGAATACCGTACGGACGAGCCCTTCAGTTGCACTAACATTGAATGCCCAGCGAATAAGCCACCTCAGTGCGGAAACCCTATCTGCCCGACGAACAAAGGTGAAAAGATGAATCAGACTTCAGGATACAAGGTCCCTAATCCTTGTCCATTAGGGAAATGCGGGACAAAGGATTGTAAACAGCATAGCACCCCAAATGTCCATAACAAACCAACGCCGCAAACGCCGTGTGCCCCTCAAAAGCAGGGTTGCCCTATGCCTGCTACGTCATCATCTGACGCGTGTATCGACTTCAACAGATGCCCGTCAGGGTGTTCCTCTGCTAATGTATCTGGAGATATGCGGCAAAACAACAACAGTAACATGGAGGCCATGCCATCTATGTACACCATGGAACAGATGTGTAACACCGTTGGACTTCTCTCTAAGCAAATCAATGAGCTGATGTCGAAGATGCAGCAGGCATCTCGAGCAGCAAGTGGGAAGGGCGGATGCTGCCCCCCGCCCAACTCTAAGGGCGGTTGCACCCAAACAGGCCCTAAGGCGTTATGCCCCAAACCTTGCTTCTGCCCTGATAACCCTGGATACAGAAAATAGTACAGTTAAGAGCAATTTGGTGCAACAATTATGTATTGTTTTGGACCATTCTCTGTAGTAATAAACTTGTAATTCAAATTGCTTACTATTTTATTTTAGCTTGATTTATTGGTAAGAAGTAAGACGTAGAGTTAACTTTTCGCATTAAATATGTAGTGCAGCCTCTCAAAATAAAGAAATATTCAAAAACAGCAATTTTGTCAAATTTAAAGTAGAGCTCGAAAACGAATGTTAAAATTCCCCTACAGCTTGTTTTTCCCAACAGACTATGTTATTTTGGGTCCATAAATTGCAGTCAGTATTCTGGTCATGATCAGAACGGTCGTTCTTTATTAACCCCTTAAAAATTGATAGATGTATGTCAGATATCGGCTGCCCATCTGGTCCATTGACCCCTCGGTGACGCGAGAGGTTTGGGAGAGGCACGTACACGTTTTATTGCTTGGAAACGTATACCCTCTGTCGGTTAAGTTAGACCGGGAGGTCATGACAGGATAGACGATATATTTTAATAATAAATTGTTGGATGTTTTACATTCATCTAGGCAGATACTTAGCTAAACTACAGTTCTTATAGATTTAAACCAAGTCAGGTGGCCGTTACAAATCAATAAAAATAAAAATAGAGATTTTTCTTTTTATTGCTTTTTAGCAGGAATAGCTGCAAAACAAATGCCTCTTAAAGTACCTATTTGTATAAATTTAGATTGAGTGTTTCAAATGTACTTTTAGAAGATTACTGTATAGGGACGTGTTCAATAATAACCTGTCAGATCCAAGATATATTGACCCTTTATTGCTCGTAACAGAACTTCAAAGGCTTTGCCTTAATACTAAAATATATTGTAGTTGACTGTAAGGCATACAAACTGAGTAGAGTCAAATCATCATCATCATCATTTCGGTCCACAGCTGAACATAGCCTCTCCCAATGATTTCCTTAATGACCGGTTGGTAGTGGCCTGCATCCAGCGCCTTGCTGCTACCTTTATGAGGTCGTCGGTCCATCATATAGTAGTAGTACCTATGTATGCTTAAAAAGATAGAGGTTTTTTTGTCACCACCGCCTGGACTACAACACAATTGCTACCGGACTCAACTTTACGGTCTGAAGTAGGTGATTGGAAGGTGTATCAAGCATTTTATTGGGGCTCAATCGGTGCTTAAGTACAATCGACATCACGTCAGACTCTACATCAAGGTTGTAAATTCAACTCTATTACAATTAGATAAGGTACCGCTGTGTTCACCTTAATATGGTCCGTTTGTAGGCGATATAACCGTAGTTTTAGGGCTATGTTCCCGAATAGATATGCCTTTTCGGGGCTATTTTATCGGTTTTATAGCTTAAACCAACGTGCTTGAAATGTAAGAATGCGTAGATGTCGTGGGTTCGAAGTTAACTTGCTTAATATGGTTAGTTTTATAGAAAGGAGCTAAGTAGTTAATCTCAAGCAAAGATTGAGGCATTTTCATTGGCATTTGATTGGTGAATTTCATTATTTAGACCAACCACAGGACAAAATCTACCTATGTATGTACATTTTGTAATACCATGTTTCTGAGCAAATAAATGAATTATTTATTTATTTATTTTATTTATGACTAAGATGGTATTGAGTTTTGATATTCACAAGTGGTGAAACTATTTTTTGAGGATAATTTAATACGAACGCAAAAACTACTTACTATAGGTACTGATTTTTATGAAACTTTACATTATAGGATTGTTTATTTATCAAGACAATATTTATTATTATGTATGGGCAAACTTCATACTGCCTTTGTTCATCACAAATAATGTAGGATTCCAATGGCGAAAGAATTGATCAAACCGTTCCAGTAGTTTCGAACAATATTCAATACAAACAAACGGCCAATCAAATCTTTCTTCTTTATTACACTGTAGATAAATTTCATGTGGGAAAAGCACAGATCACAGAAACTTAAGGGGGCAAGGCCCTTTTACACACACTGTGGTTGGTACACTTACCAATAAGGTGGCCCCATCAATAACGTGCGTAATTGTGTAGTCCCCATATTTTATTCTTGCCCATCGATATGGCCAAGCATGGGGAAGACCGGCCAATTTGAGAGGCCATGTTCTTTTAATTAGGTTCGATAGAGGAGATGGATGGAAATAGCGTTGTGGAACTATCGATATCGATGTACAGACGTCAACACATCAGACCATACATTTACCACTTATTACAACTGCATAAAAACCTAGTGCTTTAGTTTGACATGCTAACGTCTGCACCTGTCCATCAAAATTTAGTGCCGTACTTTAAAACTTGAAATAACTATAAAGTACCTAGACAAGATTATGGTAAAAAAGTTACAAATGCTATCACAGCTTCAAAGTAAGTTAGTAAAATATCGTCATAGTTACGGTCAAAGTTAGGTGGTGCAGCTTTATAGTTTAGGAGTTGAAGACTAGTGATAAACCGTAAGTAAATAATAATTAAATTAACCTTATTTCACATAGATCAGACTAAAAATCAATACATCGATCACACTAAAATGCCTCATCGCGTATTAAATATCCGCCAGATAGCAATACGTAGACGCGAGGTCCAAATGCTGCATGATTGGTTATATTTGACATGACATTGACAGATATGTCAAAATCCACCAAGTCCACCACACCAGTCAGACCCCACATCCACGTCCCGCTATCTAGCGGATCTTTCATACGCGAAAACCCTCATTAAATGGCGAAAGTATTTAACAAAGTATTTAAGAAAGTATGTAACAAGCCGTGTGGTGACGGCAGAGTAGAATACATTTGTCACCAACCCCTACTCTTCCCGCGGGTGTCGTAAGAGGCGACTTAGGGACTACACATCAAACAGAGAATGGGCAGCAGCGCTCTCTAAAAAACATCAATCTTTTAAACTGCGATCTCCAACCCGCCTGCCTAGCGTGGAGATTATGGCAAAACCCTCCACTATAGTGGAGGAGGCTCATAGTCCAGCAGTGGACTGTAAAGGGCTGTTGATGATGATGATGATGATGATTTAACAAAGAGGCTTTGCTTAGTTTAAGACTAGATGGCGCTGTACAACATTTCTATATCATCATTTTACCTACGTTCTAACAGCATATACGCTTTCTTCGTTCTCCCACAAACATCATTCATTATTTCTGCAGAACAAAGATTTTCTTCGTCTGGAAATTTATTACACCATTATTTGGTAAGTTTTTGCGACACTTCTTATAAGATGCCACCGATGTTATGTTAGATTGGTCTGGGGTCATTTGCGAAGGAATGTGAACCATAGGTTAAGGTCTTAAGGCAGTAATTTGTTGAAGAGAAGAAAGTTATTGTTAGTTACAATTACTTTCATGGCTGGGAATAGAAGGTAATACATTATCTGAGTTCAACGCGTCAAAAACAGAGTAGAGTCATCTGTCTCCTGTTTGTAAGAAGCCATGCCCGTTTTCACCATTAATCCCTAATTTTCTTTAGGTGACCCCTATGGTAACACTTAGCATGAATTTTGTTTTCATATGGGTGGATTTCCACAAAGACCGGTTCTGCGCCGCCAGCATCCAGGCGACGCGACCACTCTGCGTACTATGTCACTTTGGTCCTATCACTGATAGGGTTTTTTGAAGCTAAGAAGTAGATACTGGCTTTTTTGGCGGGTGGTGGAAATGAAGATGTAATTTGCCCCATGCACTCCAGGTTTTCAGATCGGGGTTTGAAACCAAAGTGTGATAAGATATTGAGCACAAACCTGAAGTAAATTTTAAAAATGCATCAAACAACACATAAAAATACAATAGGCTAGTTTCCTAAAAAAATTTTTTTAGTCCGTCATGTTTAATATCAAAAAATATTGGACACATAATAATATATTTTTATTTGTCAATCTAACAAATAATTACATAGTTATGGTGCGTTGAAGTTCCGCACGACGTCACAACGTGCGGCACTTTTATTTACGCATTGACGTCACGGGCCTCTTCTTATGAACTTTGGCGCGCTTTATCTCTTTAAATTTTCATTAGTTTGAAAAAGTGAAAAATACGTGTAGAGTATTTTTTGATAAGTTAACTGACGGACTAATTAAAACTCTTGCTTTTTGACCCAGGAAACATCCCTATTGTCTCAGGAATCAAACCCACGACCATTCGTTTGCTGGGCAGTAATCCTGAAGTACAAGCAGAAGCCGGTCTTCGTAAAGAAAACGTATCTTTACCGGTTCATTCAAAACAAACAAATAACTTGATACTGTCAAAATTTTCGCTGAAACTTAGTTTCTAATTAAGTCGAAGGCTTTATCAATTTCATTTCTAATTAAAGGCTTGTAGGTCCCACTTAAAGGCTCCGGTCAAGATTCTGCTTCAAGTTTACAAAACAAAGCATTTATTTTGACCAATGACGTCAATTATGACGCCATAACTAGGTCAATCAGGTTAGCTCTAAAGGATGTGGCAGTCTGTTTTAATGCTTTAGTTTCCTACTTAATTTTAAATGTGAAGTTGAAAGCTCTAAGACAGATGTGTTAGTTGAAAGCTCTAAGACAGATTGAGATCTAGAGAAAAACATAGGAGATTTTATCCCAATTTTTGAAATGCCGTGGGCAAAAGCTAGGTGTATTAGATTAATTTTTCAGTTTCCGAAAGTCTACTCGTATTTTTGTATACAAAGTAGAGTTACTGAGAGGGCAGTTTCATTGAATTTTCACTAAAACCTAATTATAAGAGCTAGTTTCATTACTATGAATGCTTGAATTCTAAGTTTTAGTTACACATAGCTTCTAAACTAGTTTGTACAAATAGAGTTTAGGGTCTAGTTCAAATAGAGTTCTAGGAATTACCTCGATTAACTGGAACATACACTTTAATATAGTTATTAGGTATACTTAAATGCGAGATGAATAGTAGTAACTATACTTATTTTATTAATATAAGGTACTATCGAGAGCATATACTCGCATAACTATTTAATCTATATCTATAAAAGCGAAAGGTTACTGACTCACTCAGTCACTCATCACAAAATC